TTAAATGAAAATAACTTTTTAGAGCAATTTAATAATTTTATTATGAAAAAATATAAGCCAACCATAATGTCCATTGTGAGTTTGGCAATTACATTTAAATGTTATTAGTGTGGTGGGGTAAAATTGTAGATTTATTATGTGAACCCACACCAAATTGTGAGTATATGCACAGTATTTAACTGATTCCAATTAGTTTTTTTTTTAATTTTTTTAAATGGTGAGTAGGAATTTGAATGGCTTGCTAAAAAAAAGAGTTGGAATTGAAAGCCTGCATATTATTTGAGATCAACCAGTAAATTGAATTATTCTTTCATGGTATTTCGTATGGGAACAAAAGTCAAAGTCTGACCAAGAATTTAGAGTTGTGTTTGGAGAGTGAGACTTCGAAGCAGCAAACACAATCTCAAACACTTCTACATAACTCACGCCGTATCCCTTCATGTACGGCAAACGTGCACGCCTACGTATGAAAAGATGACTCCTGCTTTTACATGGTCATAGAAACTTGGCCGGCTCATAGCTGACTCGATTTTTAACCTAAATCTTGGGGAAGTTAAAAAAAAAATAAAAAATTCACAGGTAATTTAGTTTGACTCAATTAAATCAAAATTTATCCTTAAATTTTTAATTTGTTTTAAAATTTGTTTTAAACTTTTTTAAATTAAAATAAATTAAATTATGTATTCAATTTATAACTTGAATTTTAAATTAAGTCGTGAATCAAATCGACCGAATTAATTTATGAACCGGGCCTCAAGCTGAGTGACTTATGAAAATTAAAAAAGATGTATGGTACTAATAATTTAATAATTTGACAAATTCTAGGGGGGGAATCAATAACGGGGCAGGCAGTAAAGCCAGCTGCTGAAATACAATAGCAGGCAGCGGCTATTGTTTGGGGTATATTGCAAAAAGATAAATAAAAAGCAAAGCACAGGCCTTAAATGAAGCGTTGTTTTCCACAAGGCTTCAAATAAAAAATAGCTCCAAATTTTGCCAAGTTCTCTTTGGCAGCTTCTTTAAACTTCTCTCACTATTTGAAGAGACTTCGTGACTGAGTCCACTAGATGATTTCATCCATTATTTGTACGGGTACTAGCAAAATCTGAAATAGAGAGAGAGAGGGTGTCTGTTTTTATTTTTACTTTTTCTTGCTTTACCTTTGTTGGGTTCTCTGGAAATACAGCAATGGCTGAGTATATTTGTGTATTAAACAAGGTGCCTACTGATTCTCAATTCAGCCTCTTTTGTATTAGTAGAATACTGGGATTTCCTTAAAATGCTGCTATATTTTTTTTTTTAAATTTTTTTATCTGGGTGGTGTTGAAGGATGCTTTTTTTTTTTTTAGTTTAATTAATTTTAGTAGTTATATTTGCTGTAGAAAAGGCTGTTTCTTCGTGTAAATTGTTGTTTCAGTTTTGTAAGTTGATGGTTGTGTGGAACATGTTTTGAAATGGGTTTGTTGAATAATGCATGTCCCGATCTGGGTTTTTTTCGTGGTTTTCCTAGTTGTTTATATTTCAATTTCTAAGCTTATTCTTAGCTTACTGTTCTCCAACCGACACTCCATTTGTTCTTCCTTTTATAAAGATCATTTATTTTTTCCTTTTCTGGCTGTTTATACGATATAGATTCTATGGTTTTGGTGCTTTCTGTTGTTAATTGTTTGTGGTGAAACATTGTTGTTATTTTGAATTATTTCTTTTCACAGTAATTTCTTCACCTGCCAAGCTAAGATCAAGACTGGAACGATAATTTTACTTTAATTTCAGCTGTTCCTTGTTCTTTAAAGCTAGTTTGCATACTATTTCTTCCATTATTAACAAGCTTAATTTGCTCTTTAACAGGATACGATAATCATAAAGCCTGCTAAGAAAACTCCCATTTTGTTAAGGATGATAGTTTTAGTGTTTGCAATGGTCTGCGGTGTTTATATCTGCTCAGTTTGTTTAAAGCAGATAAGTACCCATAGTAAAATTAAAATTCAAGATATCCAAGTCATTGAGAGGCCGTCTCCTGATGTTGACCACGAAAATTTGCATATTTCTACTGTTCATTATCCAAATCCTGAAACTTTTGGCAGGTAATTGGGCATCTGTGCCTTTTGTTTTTGAATTGGATTTAATTAAAAAGGTGTGCTTAAGTACTGTGTTGGTGTGTTTCCAGGGCTGAATGTGCACATAATCCTGTGCGATACTTTGCTATATTATCGATGCAAAGATCTGGGAGTGGATGGTTTGAAACATTGTTAAACAGTCATGTTAATGTAAGCTCAAACGGGGAGATATTTTCTGTTTTGGATAGGAGGATAAATATTTCATCAATTACACAAACTCTTGATAAAGTCTACAATTTGGACTGGTTCACTAGTGCATCAAAGAATGAATGCTCCGCAGCAGTTGGCTTCAAGTGGATGCTTAATCAGGTAACTGAGGTTGAAAAGTAGGTTAAAGTGTAAATCTTTACCTTATTTGTGCTGCTAGGTGGGGTACTAAAAGACTTGTTTGATCACACACTGTTGGCACAGTAATTAGAAACATCAAGCTGACAACTACCACATTAGTGGTTTCCCAGAATAACCTATCAATCTAAATCATGAAATGGATTTAGGTGTATCCTGTTTTTCATTGATGTGCTGCTTAAATAGTGGTTTTAGTTTGAAAGGAAAAAAAGAAGGAAAAAATAGTATTTATGATAAAATATCCAACTTTAAACTCTCAAGGAGACGAGCCCCGGGTCAAACTGTTTAGTGTTTAACAATCTTGTATTCATGTGTGAAACTATCGTATCATACCGGCTTACCTCATGGTTCATCCAATCAGGATATATGGTATTAGAAACAAAATGGCAAGAAGGAACAGCATCAACCTTTAGAGAAACAAAATGGCAAGTAGGAACAGCATCAACCTTTAGAAACAATTGACACTTAAAAGTTCTAGTATTATTCTATAATAGGAATTCCTACCAGATTTGTGAAAACCCCCTTTTGGATCTAAATTAATTGCATCAGCTTCTTGTATCTTGTTAAATTATTGGTACCTTAAACTATGCAGATATAACGGTGGTAAGGTAGCATTCTTCGTTGTTTCTTTTTTATTTGATGGATATCAGCTGATGTTTAGAAGGGTTTGTGAGCTATGAGCTGCTGTTTTGCTAATCCAGTTTCTGTGGTGGGAGAACAGGGTGGATCAATAAAGTGTAGCTGATACTGAACTTTTAGGAGGACTAAAAGTTGTGTTTTTTGTATGTTATTAATCTATACCCAAACAAAAACTGTGTTTGGATGTTAATAAGGATTTTCTTCATTTTCTGTCTGGTTTTTGGAAATCAGTTGCTGTACCATGCAAGAGCACTTTCTCATTTAGAGACCGAAGGCAGTTTACATTTTTTATCATAAGAAGACAGTTTAGCTTGATAGTAGTACTTTTAGCAATTTTCACTTGGATAACTTTATAGGAAATGTTTACTGTTTTGCTTATATAAACTATAAAAATAAAGAATTTTATGGTTTCCATATTTGCTTGAAGATTATATACTTTTAGGACTGCACTTTGCGTGGTTGAATGAGGTTACAGAAGTGCATTTTTCATTTTGTTTCTGCATGTCAGTTTTTTTTCAATTTCTCCCATCTATTTGCTAAAATAATATCCAGCTAAGGTAACCTTAGGGAGGCAGAACCCCCATTTATATATGGGGGACTAGAAGAAGGGTCGTGTGCATGTGTTACTGAAAGTTTGTTTTGGGGAGGAAAATTCCAAAGTAATAATCTGGCCATTTTTTTTTTTTTCATGCAGGGAGTAATGCAGCATCACAAGGAAATAGCAGACTACTTCAACCGCAGGGGTGTATCTGCAATATTTCTGTTTCGAAGAAATCTACTACGTCGCATGGTTTCAGTTCTTGCGAATTCCTATGACCGTCATGCTAAGCTATTGAATGGGACCCACAAGTCTCATGTTCATTCCACAGAAGAGGTCTTTCTTTATTTCCCCTGCTTCCACCAACTCTAACTCTCTTTCATGCTACATATAGTGTTAAGCTTTCAGCTGTAATTTCTTGTAGGCTGAAACACTTGCAAAATACAAGCCTATGATCAATTCCACACTGTTGATTTCTGATCTGAAGGAGGTTGAGATCACAGCTGCCAAGGCCTTAGAATACTTCAATAGCACCAGGCACATTGTTCTGTACTATGAGGATCTCATAAAAAACCCCACAGTAAGTTATCATGTCAAGTTCTCACACAAAATACATCTTGTTTTCAATATTTTGAAGTTCACTGAGAAATACCATGATCATTGGAATGATTCTTGTTTCCAAAAATTTCTGCCATTCAACCAGTTGATCTATAGATTAATTCTAACTATTCTTTTTTTTTTTTTAGTATCTATTTTAAAATTCTGGTGAAATTTAATTTATGTCTTGGGCTCCCTTAAATGGTTCCCATCTTGAGATAATCCTTTCCTCTTGAAACAGTCTACCATTTGAATTGTCAGTTTGTGATTGTGGTAGTTTTGCATTTGTTGATAGCACTGTAAATCGTCACTCAGTGCGCATTATTTATCATGCTTGTGCTGCAGAAACTAAAAGATGTTCAAGCATTTCTAGGCCTTCCAGTGATGGAGCTAAAGAGCCGTCAGGTCAAGATACACAAAGGTCCATTGGCAGACCATGTTAAGAACTGGGAAGATATCAACAACGCACTGAATGGGACTGCATACGAGAGTTTCCTCCAAGCTGACTATTAAAGCTATAGCTAGTCTGCTAACTTTTGAACAGTGTGAATACCCACTTCAACTAATTTTGTTAGAGCTGACAAGGTAAGTGGTTCCCATAAAATTTTTTGACAACCACAACCAGGTGCATCTTCCAGGCTTGTATCTTTTTTCTTCATTCAACTCGTTGAACTTGGTGCTCAATTTCTTCACTCGACTCGATGATCTTTGTTCTCGAACTCTTGTATCCCTCCGATTCTAAGCAATACCATGTAAAAATGTGATCTAATCAATTTTAAGCAAATAGGAGCAATTATTCAGTAGAAAAATGTGTATTTGGTAATCCACAAGGGCCAGTACAAGTGGTAAAAGACTTTTGAGTCAAGACAGTGGGTGGTCGAGTTCTAGTTGCAACCGTGGATATAGCTTGTGTAGATAATTCTTGTGTGATGGAGCCTCTGTCCAGTAAAACGCTAGCTTGTGTAGATAATTCTTGTGTGATGGAGCCTCTTCCAAAAAAACGCTATTCTTGATCAAGGGATCTCCCAAGGATATAAAAAAAGAAAAAACTGTGTGTTTGGTCTCCCTACCTTTCGTTTCAGTTTGGCCCTACTTTTCTATTCTAATGTCATTCCTCGTCTCTTTATTTCTTTATAGCTCATTTATTTCCCATGGATGTTGGGAAAGTCTGATAGGATTTGTGTCTAGGTTGCAGGTACTTGATTCCAACTTGCTAGGTAATCGGATTTTAGCTGTCAAAATCACAGTAATCTAAAAATCTAGAGCCTTTGGTTTTTTTTTTTAAATTAATATTTTTTTGTGTTTTTATTAGAAATAATTTTTAAAAATTTAAAAAATTATTATTTTAATGTATTTCTAAGAAAAAAATATTTTTTACCATATTTTAAGATATATCCGCATGTTGCGAGTTTAGCTTAATTTCAGAGGGCATTATTTGATTTAAATGGTGTAGTGCTTCACAGCTTCCTCAAATTGAATTGTTTTGTATATCTAGTTTTCAAGCATGCAAGTTTTCTTATGTTCAATGGAGAGGGCGAGGCTAGAATTATATTGAATGCATAATAGTGGCAAGTCTTTTTAGTTTCTACATGGCTAAGCAAACCGAGGGATGGTAATTCTCTTAAACTTCACTGGCTGCTTGATTTCTTTTCCCATGAAACGTTTTAAAATCAATGACCTTTGTCAGAGACCTGGCTCGGCGGTGGGAAATAAATGCTAGCAAATTCTTCTCGTTTTAAGCGATGTCCATTCTTTTTGTTTTTCTAAAAAAAAAAAACACAAGAAGCTGAAAGTCCATTCCAACAGAACTTGAAACCATAGTTTTCATACCCAGCTCTGTAGTTGGCTTGGTTTAGAACTTGAGTTTTGAATTTTGATTAGGTTATTAAGTCATTTAAATTGTTTTTTTAAATTAAAATGATATTATTTTAATAAAAAAAATTAATAAGTTGTAATTGGGTTTTTAACTGAGTTTTTGATTGAGTATTGCTAGATTAACAGGTATTGGGTTAACTAACTAGGTGGTTATATTAGATTTTTTTTTCTTTAACTTAATTTAGTTTTGATCCCGGATTAACCACCTCTTGGATCAACCTGCTGACGGAAACTGAAATTCAAAACCATGCTTGCAACAACCATTATAGCTTGCACGAAGGTTAGGATCTAAGACAGCTGGGTCAAGTTTAGATAAAAATAAGCACGCCGACATGGTCTTGCAAGTTGCAGGCCCGAGTGGATCATTGAGTTTTTTTTTTTGTTGGGGAGTAGCTCTTTTTGGGCAAATAATAACTTATGTACACAGGATTTTGTCCCAAGGGAGAGAAAAAAAAAAAAGATTACGAGTATGCTTAACAACCATTTTTTTTTTATTTGAGTAAGAAATATTTATAACTGCTTAATTTTTTAAGTTGAAATTATTATTTGCCTTTGATTTTTAAGTTTGTAGTATACATAAGTTTCGGATTAATTATTTATGTAATTAAATATTTATTAAATTTTGAAAATTATGATTATCTACTTTAAATATTTTCTGATGAAAAATCAGAAGAGTACGCCTTTATATATATATATATATATAGTATGAATACAAGAGGTTTACATATGCTCCAACGTTAATAATGTTGGAAATATAATCAAAGAGATTTCTATCAATTAAGGAATCTAGATCTTAAAAGTTGCCGGGCTGATGAGTTTTTATAAAATATCTACAAGTTAATCAATTAAGGAAATTAAAGAATACTTGTATAAATATATTTGGATAAAATATATGGTATTTATTCCATTTATTTTATTCCATAGATTTCTATCGATGTATAAGATGTATAATGTTATCATGAACATGTTGAAGAATGAAGTGATTATCAATTTTAATATATTTGGATCGTTTATATAATATTTCATTATGAGTGATCTAGATAATATTATGATTATCATAGTATAGAGATGGGGGACTGGATGTTAAGCACCAAAATCCTTAAGAAGCCATCATAAAACATGCTACAAATTTCGAAGAGATATTAAGAGCAAGATACTCAACATCTGTACTTGAGTGAGTTATGGCGCTTTTATTTTTTTTCTACGGAAAGAAATCAAAAAAATTATAAGAGAAAAACAATACCTTATAATAGGATGATGATTTGTTAAGTTAATGCTCTGCTCGTCCAAATCTGCATCAAAATACCCTTATCATAGCGAAAAATAAATGTAAAACGAGTTATGTAAAGAGCATATATAAATTAATTAATAATATGCTTAACATCTGCTATGTTAAGGCAAATGACTGAAAGATGTATAAGATTTCCAAATCAGTCACTTGCATAGCATTGAATCAAGAAGTGGTGTCCTATTAATAGTATAAACATGACATTTATATAAAGATATATACAAGCAATCTTAGTATCTATTAAAGAATTAAAGAAGATCAAGATAGATAGAAGATCAATACAATATTTGATGTGAGAAAGTAGTAGCCAATGCTATCTGAAGAGACTTTTAAGCCTAAAAAATAATTAAGCTTGTCTAGATCTTTCATTTCAAAGTCTAGATCTTTCATTTCAAAGTGTTGGTTAATGAATTTTTTAAGTTGAGTGATAACATAAGTATTATCATTTATAATTATCATATCATTAATATAAAATAAAATTATTATGCGACCTTTATTTATTTTACATACAAATAAGTTAAAATCATATATATTCAAGGTAGACATAAAATAACTCATTTTAGAGTTAAATTTAACAAACATAGCTCAAAGAACTTGTTGGAAAAGTTTTTTAAAAATGACACTTATTCAATGAATGGTTATAAATAAAAGGAGACCATGTTGGAAGTAAAGCAGGTGCGGTATAAAATTAACATAACAATGCAAGCTCCGTAACTCAAGAATAAGAAGAAGAAATGCTTTTATTAAGTTTTTCTTACTAAGCTCTTTTAGTTGTTCTTTCTCTTTTGTGCTTATTAATAATGGTAAAGTATAAGTTTTTTGTAGGCATAAAATCTTAAATAATCAAGAAATTAAACTAATACAAGGAAATTCTAATTTGAACATAAATTGTATTCTACCAACTAAATCAGCCAACTGTTTAAAAATCTAAAATTTAGTTTACTTTTTACATCCCCTTTTAAACTTGATTTTTTTATAACTCACAAAACATTTTTTATTTTGATAAAAATACCATATTTGAGTGGCTTTGTGAATATATTTGTGATTTAGTTTTGTATCTTTACATACTTGACTTCAACTTTCTTATTTGCAATATAATTTGATAAGTAATGAAATAATATGTCAATATGCTTAATTCTATCATGAAGTACTAGATTCTTTGGTAATAAAATGACCGATGAGTTATCCATACAAAATTTGATATATTTTTTATGGCATTCACAATTCCTTTAATCATCTTCTTAGCTATATGAAATGATAAACACATAACATAGTAACTATATATTTAGCTTCACATGTTGACAAAGTGATTATAAATTACTTTTTTGAACCCCATGTAAATGTTGTGTCTCCTATATAGAAAATAAAACTTGTTATGCTTTTTCTATCATCCATATCTTCAGTCTAATCATTGTCACTATAACCTATAAATTCAAAACTATTAGAATAACCATAGAATAAGTCAAAATCAATAATACATTTAATATACTTAAGAATTCACTTCAAAACTTTAAGTTGTGTTTTAATAGGTATCTCTATAAACCTATTCACAAGTACCACTCAAAAAAATATATTTAGACGAGTGCATGTCAAATATCTTAAACTCCCAACTAAGCTCTAGAATGTTGTAGAGTTTATTCTTTCCCCTTCATCACCGTCGCGGGGTGCGTGAGCATTGTCTGGCGACGGCGGAGGCTCTTGTCGTGCCTCCTTATGAGGAGTGTTGTGTGTTGGAAAATTATGATTAATTTTTGGGAGTCACCACCTAGTATTATGGTTACTAGAAACCTATGGTTTGCGAGAGTCTGAGTAAGGGACTGGTTGTGCAAGGGGAAGACGCATCACTCCCAATGCACCCTACCTAAGGTAAGCTGCATTGTTATTTGATTGTTTTTTAAGTCAGGTTTCTATTTGTTGGTCTTTTCTAAGGCTCAGGGTAGATCTCTCTTCATGAGAGAGTCTCTACCTTATCAGATTAAATCCTAATCGTTCTAAAGTCTGAATATTATCATCGCATTTATTTACATATTGTATCTTTAATACCTGAAGGTATACTTTATCGTGTAATTTTACACCTCACAAATATTAAAATCTACATTTAGATTCTAAAAAACAGGATTAAATTTTTTTTGACATGTTGGCCAAATCTTAATAGATAATCATAAACTGGTTATGATATCTATTTTTGGATTAAAAAATAAAAAAGATGCAATTTTTTTTTAATAAAAAACATGCTTGGAAAAATTTCAGGAATTGGCCGTATGCAACAAAATATTTTTTTTGAAAATGTTTAGAATTTTTTAATAATTTCAGAGGAAACTGACATTTTAATACCGAATTTGTATTTTACAGTGTAAATACACAACCCGATATTATGCAAAATTAGTAAAAAAAAAGAATATATGAGAAAATTATAATTTTTTTGAAAGGATTTTTTTTTCAAGATTTTTAGACTTAAAAAAAAACCACTGCATGAACAGTGGAACTCCACGGGGAAGA